AAACGTGGTATATTCGTCATTTTAATCTTTGGCTTATCTGGTACACTGTCGCCAGTAACTGAAGGGATGATATAAATCCAGCCAGGGTCCATGCAGGAAGCAAAGGCACTGTAAGTCCCCATGGTCCCTGATATGGTGATCTCCCTTCAGTGACTGACTATCTCTAGCCCATTGTTATATTGTGTTGTTCATTGATACTTAATGCTTTTTAATATTCTCAACTAGTTAAAACAAATCTGTGATATTCTAGTTATTGTACTGTCCATCGTTGACAGCTTTATAATTTAGTCTAAACATATGTATCATTAATGTATAATTTCTCGTCACGTTATGGCTGAAATACTGCCGATGTGACGTTAAATATTAACTCGCTCGCTCACTCACTATTGGCGATCTGTACTGTTGGCGGTCTGTAATATTGGGGATCTGTACTATTGGCGATCTGTAATATATGCGATCTGTACTAATGGCGATCTGTACTATTGGCGATCTGTGCTATTGGTGGTCTGTACTATTGGCGATCTGTACTATTGGCGGTCTGTACTATTGGCGATCTGTACTATTGGCGGTCTGTACTATTGGCGATCTGTACCATTGGCGATCTGTACTATTGGCGATCTGTACCATTGGCGGCCTGTACTATTGGCGATCTGTACTATTGGCGATCTGTACTATTGGCGGTCTGTACTATTGGCGATCTGAACTATTCGCGATCTGTACTATTGGCGATCTGTACTATTGGCGGTCTGTACTTTTGGCGATCTGTAATATTGGCGGTCTGTACTATAGGCGGTCTGTACTATTGGAGGTCTGAACTATTGGCAATCTGAACTATTTGCGGTCTGCACTATTGGCGGTCTGTACTATTGGCGGTCTGTACTATTGGCGGTCTGTACTATTGGCGATCTGTACTATTGGCGGTCTGTACTATTGGCGGTCTGTACTATTGGCGGTCTGTACTATTGGCGATCTGTACGATTGGCGGTCTGTACTATTGGCGTTCTGTAATATTGGCGATCTGTACTATTGGCGGTCTGTACTATTGGCGTTCTGTACTATTGGCGATCTGTACTATTGGCGGTCTGCACTATTAGCGATCTGTACTTTTGGCGGTCTGTACCATTGGCGGTCTGTACCATTGGCGATCTGTACCATTGGCGATCTGTACTATTGGCGGTCTGTACTATTGGCGGTCTGTACTATTGGCGAATGTACTATTGGCGTTCTGTACTATTGGCGATCTGTACTATTGGCGGTCTGTACTATTGGCGATCTGTACTTTTGGCGGTCTGTACTATTGGCGGTCTGTCCCATTGGCGATCTGTTCTATTGGCGGTCTGTACTATTGGCGGTCTGTACTATTGGCGATCTGTACTATTGGCGGTCTGTACTATTGGCGGTCTGTACTCTTGGCGATCTGAACTATTCGCGACCTGTACTATTGGCGATCTGTACTATTGGCGGTCTGTACTTTTGGCGATCTGTACTATTGGCGGTCTGTACTATAGGCGGTCTGTACTATTGGAGGTCTGAACTATTGGCGGTCTGTACTATTGGCGATCTGAACTATTGGCGGTCTGTACTATTGGCGGTCTGTACTATTGGCGATCTGAACTATTGGCGGTCTGTACTATTGGCGATCTGTACGATTGGCAGTCTGTACTATTGGCGTTCTGCGCTATTGGGGATCTGTACTATTGGCGGTCTGTACTATTGGCGATCTGTACTATTGGCGTTCTGTACTATTGGCGATCTGTACTATTGGCGGTCTGTACTATTGGCGGTCTGTACCATTGGCGGTCAGTACTATTGGCGATCTGTACTATTGGCGGTCTGTACTATTGGCGGTCTGTACTATTGGCGATCTGTACTATTGGCGATCTGAACTATTGGCGGTCTGTACTATTGGCGGTCTGTACTATTGGCGGTCTGTACTTTTCGCCGTGGTTCACTGTCAACGCCGGGTAATAATCGGGACAGATTCCAGTGAGCGTATAAAAAAAAATAGTGGTGAATCATTGAATATCAGTGGCGACACCAGGTCGTCGCGAAGAAGGGTAAGAATTAATGACCTGCTCTACCGGTAGCACCCAGCACTCCCACGATTTGCATAAAAACGTAGGCGATTGTTTGTTGCCGCACAGGAACCTTCCTATCATACGACGGCGACCTGTAAACAATAGCGCCTTGACCAGACAATCAAATGATAGGGGGTCAGAAGATCCCATGATCCGATCGCGCGAATACTGATTCTGTTGAAGCTAAAAACGATATATTGATTTTGAATTACGTCTCCTGCGTACAAGTGCAGATATTCTGCTTTTTAAGTGAAGGGAAGCACTTAAGAAATATGTTCGTTTGAAACACGGTAGGGTGCAGTTTTAATGTCTCGGCCAAATGTTTCCTTTTTATTTGACTGAGCATCATTGGTAAATGCTAATTAGCTTACTTATGATGAAACTCGGGGATCAGCTGCGATCAAGTTCAACGGTTCTGCTGCTTACAAGTAATGAGAAACACTTTAGAAATATCTCCGTTTTGAGACACAGTGAGAAGGCAGTTGTAATGTTTAATATCATGTATCATTGTTTATGAACTGGGACAAAAGTAATTTCATTTATGACAGGGACCAGCAAATATTTAAACACGCTAAATCGTTATTCGACAGTGTTTTGTGTTTTAATATCATTAATTGTGATGCGCAAAGATATTAATTTTTAAAGAAACCTCCTTCGTGACTTTAATAATAAAAATTATGGAGAGAAAAGGCTTACAACGGAGGTCACTGAGTTACAAATAGTAACGTCATAGAACATAATATATGATGACGTCACTAACAAGAAACGTGACGCCAATGACGTCACATAACAATAGAATAGACAGCAGTCCGTCGTTCATACAAAAACTTTGATCAAAAACTTGTTTAAGTCCATTTTGTTTGATAGTGTAACGAGGGCATGAGGGGAAATCGGACTGCTGTCAAGTAACAGTGACCCGCAGATTTATAACATGCGAGCATTTTCATGATAATTCTATTCATTTTAGCTATAATATACTTTAAACGATCACATTTAGTGCATTATATATTCCATTGTTAACGTTTATGTTTACATTAAAGCGTTGTATCGGAAACATATGTACTGGTCCTGTCGTTTATATCGTTGTAAGTGTCAAGTTTTCATTTTGAAAAAAATACCAAATAGTGTAGGCTTCTCAGCATAATAAATTCGTTATGATGTCTTTAGTTGCCGTATACGGTGTCATATTAGATTAGCAGAGAATTATTGGGCGAGGTGTGACCCCAGCCCAATATTTGTCTGCGAACCTAATATGACACCGTATACGGCAACTAAAGACACCATAACTAATAATAGAAACACGGCATATTCAAATATACCAGCTGACTCAAGCATTATGAAGCTGACAACCTAGGAGCCATGGATTACGTACATTGACGCGTGGAAGCAATATAATTCACGTGTGTGAGTACGCCGTTTAATATTAAAGAAAGTACTTCCAATTGTTGTCGCCACTGTAATGTATAGAACTTGCTGACTCAAAAATACTTGGTTGTCTCCAATATACAGGAAGTCGACTTTAGCCACTAAGAAAGCAGCTTTCTTGAGCTTTGCAGCACTAGTTTCAGACTGGCGACTTCCAGACTATACTTTTTAAAGTATTTTGAATCAGTCATACAGTCCGTAACAGTAGGTTTGTGCTAAGTTTTAGAGGTTTCATGATTAGAAAATATTCCAGAAACAATGTAACATAAAAATATGAATAATTCATTTTTTATTATAACCTGTTTGAATCGTTATCTATAATATAGTTGTCCGATTTTCGATCACGAACGTTGATTCTACTTAATTTCGTTTATACGGCATACTCGTTAATCCGACATAATCATATGCAACCAACCATGTCGGATTAACGGGACTTAACTGTATATGATTGGCTGTTTATTGACGGCGTTTATTAATAGGGATTTGTACTATATGTACTATAGGTCGTATGTATTGTAACCTTTTCTTAATCATCTGCAAATTAGATCTTCTAATGTCTTCTGGTAGCATGGTCACTTAAATCTTTTTATAATAACTGGCATTGATTAATCTATGCAGACACAAACACCTTTTTCTTACCGGATTGCTAAAAAGGTACTAATCAAAGACATCACAAACACCCGGTACAGATGAGCTAAATGAGTCAACATTTACCTATATCCATACCGCCACATGTATGTGATAGATATTTCCATAATGTATCTCAGCACGCAGACCTGGTAACAACCACATATCCTGACAAAACATATCCTGAATATTTCTGCGTGCACAAAGAGCCTATGCTATACGCGGTGCAACTGTTTGTATCTACAGTCTCAGCTGCCCGAAAAACCGTCTTAACGACTCATCCCCCATAGGACAAAACTATTTCACAGTCTAGCATAGTTACGGGTTAATGACGCTCTCGAAGGTCGTATAATGTGACTTTAAGGTATCTGTCATCTTCCCGAAGCAAGAGTGTCCACTAGCCTACATGTATATCAAAGCCTAGTTTATAACCTTGTCATTTCAAGCCTACTCCTCTTAGATCGATTGTGGCGCCATCCCGCGTAGAACACGAGTTGTGTCCCTTGTGATGAAAACGTGATATCCAATCAGATCGCTGTTCTTATTTCCAATGGCTTCACAAGTTATGACGACCAGAGTAGACGCCCTGATCGTCCAGATATAACGAAAAGATGTGCGACTTCATCCCTGACAGACAAACCAAATTACAGACTTCCACAGTAAAGATACTTATTTCTGCCACATTTCACTGTTACAATAACAGAGTGGTGAGACTGCCAGGATCAAGTAACAATGCACAGCGCGGGAACATGAGACGCTCAGCATTGGGTCGTCTTCAAATAGCACTGCATCTGTTACTGAGATGATCTTTCAGTCGTTAAAACATGAATTTTCACTCAAGTATATAAAAGAACTTGTTGATTCAACACGATGATCCGCCACTTCAACACGACGTTCCACTACTTCAACACACTGTTCCATCACTTCAACACGACGTTCCATCACTTCAATACGACGTTCCACGACTTCAGTATAATGTTCCATCACTTCAACACGATGTTCCACGACTTGAACACTCTGTTCCATGACTTCAACATGACGTTCCACGACTTCAACGTGACATTCCACCTATTATCTTACATGATCTTCCGCCACTTCAACACACTGTTCCACGACTTCAACACTACGTTCCACGACTTCAACACGACGTTCCACCTCTCTAAGACGTTCTTCTGCCACTTGTTCTACTACTTCAACACGACGTTCCATCACTTCAACCCGACCTTCCACGACTTCAACACAATGTTCCACCTCTCTAAGACGTTCTTCCGCCACTTCAACACGACGTTCCACGACTTCAACGTGACATTCCACCTATTATCTTATAAGATCTTCCGCCACTTCAACACACTGTTCCACGACTTCAACACTACGTTCCACGACTTCAACACGACGTTCCACCTCTCTAAGACGTTCTTCTGCCACTTGTTCTACTACTTCAACACGACGTTCCATCACTTCAACCCGACCTTCCACGACTTCAACACAATGTTCCACCTCTCTAAGACGTTCTTCCGCCACTTCAACACGACGTTCCACGACTTCAACGTGACATTCCACCTATTATCTTATAAGATCTTCCGCCACTTCAACACACTGTTCCACGACTTCAACACGACCTTTTACGACTTTAACACGGCGTTCCAACCCTCTAAGACGTTCTTCTGCCACTTGTTCCACTACTTCAACACGAACCTTCCACGACTTCAACACAATGTTCCACCTCTCTAAGACGTTCTTCCGTCACTTCTACACGACGTTCCACTACTTCGCCACACCGTTCCATCACTTCAACACGACGTTCCATCACTTCAACACGACGTTACAAGATTTCAACACAATGTTCCATCACTTAAACACGACGTTCCATCACTTCAACACGCCATTCCACGACTTCAAAACGACGTTCCACGACTTCAACATGACGTTTCACCTCTCTAACACGTTCTTCTGCCACTTGTTCCACTACTTCAACACGACATTTCATCACTTTAACACGATGTTCCATTACGTCAACACGACCTTCCACGACTTCAAACACAATGTTCCACCTCTCTGAGACGTTTTGCCGCCACTTCAGCACGATGTTCTTCCTCTCTGATACGATTCTCCGCCACTTAAACTCGATGTTCCACTACTTCAACACGACCTTCCACGACTACAACACAATGTCCCACCACTTCAACACGCCGTTCCATCACTTCAACGCGATGTTCCACTACTTCAACACGACCTTCCACCACTTAAACATGATGTTCCACCTCTCTGACACGATCTTTTGCCACTTGAACACGCCGTTCCATCACTTCAACGAGGTGTTCCATGACTTCGACACAATGTTCCACATCTCTAACTCGTTCTTCCGCCTCTTCAACACGACGTTCCATCACTTCAACACAATGTTCAACTACTTCAACATAATGTTTCACTTCTTCAACACAAATTGTGAATGTTCAACAATATAATACCAAATGTTACACGTCTTCAACACTATGCTTCACGTCATTAACACGATGTTCAACGTCCTTAACACGATCTTCCACTACTTCAACACGATCTTCCACCACTTAAAAACGATGTTCGACCACTTCAACACGAACTTTCACTTCTCAAACACGATGTTCCACCACTTCCATACAATGTTTCACTACTTTAACACGACCTTCCACCATTTCAACACGATTGTCAACCACGTCAACGCGATGTCCAACCACTTCAACACGATGTTCAACCACTTCAACACGACCTTCCACCACTTCAACACGATTGTCCACCACTTCAACACGATTGTCCACCACTTCAACACGATGTTCCATCACTTCAACACGACGTTCCATCACTTCAACACGACGTTACAAGATTTCAACACAATGTTCCATCACTTAAACACGACGTTCCATCACTTCAACACGCCATTCCACGACTTCAAAACGACGTTCCACGACTTCAACATGACGTTTCACCTCTCTAACACGTTCTTCTGCCACTTGTTCCACTACTTCAACACGACGTTTCATCACTTTAACACGATGTTCCATTACGTCAACACGACCTTCCACGACTTCAAACACAATGTTCCACCTCTCTGAGACGTTTTGCCGCCACTTCAGCACGATGTTCTTCCTCTCTGATACGATTCTCCGCCACTTAAACTCGATGTTCCACTACTTCAACACGACCTTCCACGACTACAACACAATGTCCCACCACTTCAACACGCCGTTCCATCACTTCAACGCGATGTTCCACTACTTCAACACGACCTTCCACCACTTAAACATGATGTTCCACCTCTCTGACACGATCTTTTGCCACTTGAACACGCCGTTCCATCACTTCAACGAGGTGTTCCATGACTTCGACACAATGTTCCACATCTCTAACTCGTTCTTCCGCCTCTTCAACACGACGTTCCATCACTTCAACACAATGTTCAACTACTTCAACATAATGTTTCACTTCTTCAACACAAATTGTGAATGTTCAACAATATAATACCAAATGTTACACGTCTTCAACACTATGCTTCACGTCATTAACACGATGTTCAACGTCCTTAACACGATCTTCCACTACTTCAACACGATCTTCCACCACTTAAAAACGATGTTCGACCACTTCAACACGAACTTTCACTTCTCAAACACGATGTTCCACCACTTCCATACAATGTTTCACTACTTTAACACGACCTTCCACCATTTCAACACGATTGTCAACCACGTCAACGCGATGTCCAACCACTTCAACACGATGTTCAACCACTTCAACACGACCTTCCACCACTTCAACACGATTGTCCACCACTTCAACACGATTGTCCACCACTTCAACACGATGTTCCATCACTTCAACACGACGTTCCATCACTTCAACACGACGTTACAAGATTTCAACACAATGTTCCATCACTTAAACACGACGTTCCATCACTTCAACACGCCATTCCACGACTTCAAAACGACGTTCCACGACTTCAACATGACGTTTCACCTCTCTAACACGTTCTTCTGCCACTTGTTCCACTACTTCAACACGACGTTTCATCACTTTAACACGATGTTCCATTACGTCAACACGACCTTCCACGACTTCAAACACAATGTTCCACCTCTCTGAGACGTTTTGCCGCCACTTCAGCACGATGTTCTTCCTCTCTGATACGATTCTCCGCCACTTAAACTCGATGTTCCACTACTTCAACACGACCTTCCACGACTACAACACAATGTCCCACCACTTCAACACGCCGTTCCATCACTTCAACGCGATGTTCCACTACTTCAACACGACCTTCCACCACTTAAACATGATGTTCCACCTCTCTGACACGATCTTTCGCCACTTCAACACGCCGTTCCACCACTTTAACACGACGTTCCCCGACTTCAACACAATGTTAAACCTCTCTAAGACGTTCTCCCGCCGCTTCAACACGATATTTCACCTCTCTGACACGATCTTCCGCCATTTCAACGCGATGTTCTACTACTTCAACACAATGTTCCACTACTTCAGCATAATGTCCCACCGCTTCAACACAATGTTCCATCACTTCAACGTGATGTTCCACTACTTCAACACGACCTTCCACCACTTAAACATGATGTTCCACCTCTCTGACACGATCTTTTGCCACTTGAACACGCCGTTCCATCACTTCAACGAGGTGTTCCATGACTTCGACACAATGTTCCACATCTCTAACTCGTTCTTCCGCCTCTTCAACACGACGTTCCATCACTTCAACACAATGTTCAACTACTTCAACATAATGTTTCACTTCTTCAACACAAATTGTGAATGTTCAACAATATAATACCAAATGTTACACGTCTTCAACACTATGCTTCACGTCATTAACACGATGTTCAACGTCCTTAACACGATCTTCCACTACTTCAACACGATCTTCCACCACTTAAAAACGATGTTCGACCACTTCAACACGAACTTTCACTTCTCAAACACGATGTTCCACCACTTCCATACAATGTTTCACTACTTTAACACGACCTTCCACCATTTCAACACGATTGTCAACCACGTCAACGCGATGTCCAACCACTTCAACACGATGTTCAACCACTTCAACACGACCTTCCACCACTTCAACACGATTGTCCACCACTTCAACACGATTGTCCACCACTTCAACACGATGTTCCAACACTTCAACACGATGTTCCACCACTTCCATACAATGTGTCACTACGTGCGATAGTCCACTGATATTTTAGCAAAGAAAAGTCGGCTTGAAATTGCAAGGGTGGAAACTAGACTTGATATAGGATCGTGGACACGCTTGCCTCGGGAAGATAGGCTTAATGAAGGTCGTATATATAAGACTTTAAAGTATCTGTATGTTTGAAGGGAGACCTATAACGGCGTAAATGTATCTTGAAACGTAAAGGAATATAACTTGTCATCGCACATTACGCTTGTAGCGACTCGCGGGGACCATAAAACTAATTGGCCTATGAAAGGGCAATAAGGGTCGCAAATATAATTATGCGGATACCCGCGGATAATCCGCAGTAGTTCTACGTAGTGCTTGCGTAGGTGCGCAGATATTTTGCGAAATAAACGTGCAGTTTCTGCGGAGGCTCCACGAGAGTTTTGCAAAGTGACGAAAACTACTTTTGCGTTGTCGTGTACATGTGTGACTACAGCGTCTATAGATTCAATAGATTGTCTTGAGGTAGCATATGTCTCTACAGCTTGTAACACACATGTGCTTTTGATTTCTGTTTTGGCAATCACGTATATGGAAAGGAATCTCATGTTAGTTTACGCATTACGAGTACTTGATAACGTATGGCCACCACGATAAAGTACTTGACATTAACAGGTGGTCAACGTGCTTGAAAAGGAACTAATACGGATATGTAGATTTAACCTTGGAGTAGCGTTTATAGTCGTCGTGAACTTTAAACGCACACGTTCTAAATATGATATATTGATCGACATGCACACACATTTCAAATGAAAGACCAATTGTTTACAATTAACAGATTGTACTCACGACCTGCGATATATGATAATGAAATCCTGAAGTTATGTAGTCCGTAGACGTCAACCAACGTCTCACTGGATATGTTACTGACCAAGGTCATAATTAGGGACTCTGGAATTCGAATTAATGATTAGCGGATCCTGTCACGGCTAAACGACCAACTTTGCACAGCGAATTGCAACTTCTTACACCACAAAGCCACCGGTCCCGCAGTGTGTTGCAATGACAGTGTTGAAGAGGTGGAACGTCGTATTGAAGTCACAGATGGTAGTGTTGAAGTGACGGAAGATCTAGTTAGAGAGCTGGAACATGGTGTTGAAGTCGTGGAACGTCGTGTTCGTGTTTGTGGCGGAAGATCGTGTTAGAGAGGTGTAGCATGGTGTTGACGTTATGGAACGACTTGTTGAACTTATGGAACATGGTGTTAAAGTGGTGGAACGTCGTATTGAAGTGGAAGAAGCGAACTTCAGACGAACTAAAGCAGGTTGACATGCAGACAATATGCAATAATAGATATATTATTTGGGGATTTACACTTCCTTTCAACTAAACACGAACACGTTATTGAGACGGAATTAGAAATGACTCTTCGGAGTAGCTTGGAAGTGTTTTCAGTTTATGAAAGTCTTTCAAAATTGAAAATGAAGACATCTCTAATGATTGCCGATATTCCCGGGGCCTGATTGAGTTGTCATTGAAAATACTAGGTTTTCAG